TCCTCTCTGCACATCTAGTGCCTTCCTGGCACTGCAGCATTTGCTCTGGATTTTATAGGAGTGGGAATTCAGTGCTAGTTTCTATGAGAACTTGCACAGCTGCATCAAGTGATTCAGAAAGTCTCGAGCAGCTGAACGGGAGGTTCAGTTTCCTTGTGTATATTCTATGTACAGACTCTCCTAAGGAGAGATCAAGGCCCTGATCCTGCAAACACTAACACATATGTCTGGTAAAACATGAGTGGTTAATAGTGCTCAAGCATATGTTGTTTGCTGCTTGGAAATCTGTCCCCTTGAAGGGATTTCACAGGAGCTGAGCAGTCTTTGACAGAATCAGCACTTGATCAGAATTTCTCAGTCACAGACGTCTTCCAGAAGATTATTGCTGTTAGTGCCAGTGACAGTAATGAAAACACTGAGGAGAGGAAGGAGTAGTGCTCAGGAAAAATTAGTTTGAGCAATAGGAGAGGGACTAGATTTTTAAATTTCTAAGAGATGTAGCCTCACAGGTCTCTTTGTCAGGAAAGTTGGATTCATTCAGCAACAGGAGTGTGTTTTCCATGCCTGATCTGAGCCCAAAGTGAGGGGCAACTCTCAGCAATTTAAGCAAGTTTTTCTCAGATCCTCTACAGAGCAAAATGTGCTGTCAAACGTAGGAATTGCATTGACCCCACACCACAAAACGTCTCAGACCAGAACAAATCACGAACTGAAGCTTTGTTAAACCCCAGTCTGGGAGAGGAACCAGCAGGGGAAAGGGCACAGTGAGTACTGCAGTCACCAGTTGAAGGTATTTCCTACCAGACCTGTTCAGGATGTGGTGTATTTACAGGCACAAAGTGTCTGCAGAACAGCCCTAACAAAGCCTCTCTCCTTTACCCTTCCTCCCCTCTTCATCAGGATTGGTAACAGGAGTTTAGTTTAGCACAGGGACTTTCCACACCTACCAAAGGATGTTTTCCAGGAAACTATAAAAACCTTCAGTCATATCAGGGAAAAAGGGACTATCCAGTTTTGAATCCCAGTGTCCCATGGGGGGAAAAAGCATATGCTGATCTTCCCTTGTGCCCAGCACACACACCAGTATCTCTCCTTGGACACACTGCACATCCAGAGATGGGTGAACCATCTCCTGCTCCCCCAAGCAGGTCACATTCCCAGGCCACACTTGCTCTCTAGATCCTCCACCCTGTCAGACCTAGGGACACCTTTTCCTTAGAGATAGTTGTCCCAGGGTTGGAATTTTCCTGAAGGTTTTAACTACAGTTAAAAGGGAAAAGAACAGAACTGGCCCAAACTAGAGTTATCATACATGGTTGTTACTATTATTGATTCAGATTAAAATAACTTCTGCCATAGTTGAATTCCAACCAAAACCAAATAAAAAACCAATTGCTTCATTCTCCCTATTAAAATCACACATGAAAATGTACCAAACCATCCCCCCCAGTCAGACACTCATGATCAAACAAAAGCATGTTTAAAAGAGGAGGAGGGAAATCCAAGCTGAAAACTTACTTTGCAGCAAGCAGCATATTTTTCCTGTTTGCCATTTCGTTGCGACCCATGTGTGGTCTGGTTAAATATTCAGCCACTGCTTTGGAAGGAAACTCTGTCTCACATACATAGCCAAAGTCACGAGCAAGATGCACAGCTTCACCTGGGGGGGTAAAGGGAGTGCTGGTTAAATGGGGTAACAGCTATTCCTTCTAAGAGCAGCGAAATTAAGGGGGAAAGGCTGTGAATTTTGGGAGTGTCTTTCTGGTTTAGGAAGGGACATTGTTGCCACTGTATCACTTACTGTCATTTAGTAATTGATGGATCAGTGTTTCTTTTTAAGTTTGCATCAAGAAAAGAGATCTACATGGTGACAGTTATATATATATATAAAAAAAAGGGATTCTCTTGCTTTTATACTGGAAAAACTCATGTCTTTATCCAGCTTAACTGCACAGCAAGGAACAGAATTCAGTCTAGAGCAAATTATTCTCTAGAATGAATTACCCACTGGTATTTACAAACATCTGGCAACTAACTTATATTAGTTTTTCAGTTAACTATATTTTCTAAACACTTTTGCATAAGCATTTTCATGTTGAAAACAAACTTGCAAGGTATATAACTAAACCACTTGTTTTCAGTAAGGCAATTTGATCAGGCTTAAAAAAATTGGGTTAGCATGGACAGGGTTACCTGCACTGTACCTGTGTGTGCAAAACCCAACTTCCAAGGGAAGGTTTTAAAGGGAAGTTGCTGCATTATTCAAGCTGATGTGGAAGTGAATTACCAGTAGGTTATTGTTAATAATTTCTCAGTTTTCATTTCAGTTGCTGCTTCTATCCCCATTCAGCTGTCCCACTAACCAGGAGCTGCTTTAAGCAGAATCACCAAACACAAACCACACACGTACAAATATATATATATAAACACCCTTCAAGTCAGCTTAACTGATCAAGGGTCCACAGAACATGGTACAGATTAAAGGGGCTCCAGTTTCCTATCAGGAAGTCAAAAGCTATAAATCTCACTTTATATGCTTGTTTATTAGCAAAGCTTCTGAGGACACTGCTGAGGTAAGGGCCAAGCAGTGGAGTCAGCTGCCCCAGACTGGAAAGTTTCCCAACAAGGAACCAAAGCCACTAATGTGATGAGTTTCACCCCATTTGCCTTCCCTTGCCTGGCCCTGCACACACCCTTATGAAACCTGAAACAACCCTGAAGAAAACACAGGCTGGACAAACGTGCATTTTGAGCATCTTGGCACAGAGGAGCTGCTGCATCCCTGCCAGCATCCCTGCCATGCAGCTCTGAGGAAGAGAAGCATTAGCTGGGGTTGAGCTAACAGGGCTCCAGGACTTAGAGACCAGATTTGAAGGGAGAAGGAGGGGGAGAAGAGCTGTTAGGTGCTGCAACATCCGCATCAGGCTCACTTCAAAACAAACAAAACCTCTCTATTATGTCCATTGACTTTTTAGCCTCTTCCTAGAGGACAAAAGCTGTACACAAGGGGGGAAAAAAAGTTTATTTTTGAGACTTGTTCAGGACTGACCTTCCACCACTAGCTTCTTCCTAGAGGATAAAAGCTGTACACAAGGGGGGGAAAAAAGTTTATTTTTAAGACTTGTTCAGGACTGACCTTCCACCAAAGATGTCAATAGTGTCACATTTGCAGCTTTCCTTCTACCAGCAGGAAGATTCAAGCCAATTTTATCCAGTTTTTCCCTTAATGATCTGCCACCATTTTTAGATTTGGCTCTGTAATTAAAAAGGAAAAAAAATGGCCTTATTTATCTTCAGGGAAGACTTCTTTTTTAAGATGAGAAATTCCAGTTACTGACATTCAATAGGCTTCTACTTGTGGGGGGAAGATAAAAAACAGGCTCTTTTCAAGTGACCTACTTTTTAAATGCTCTACTACAAACCAGCCAGGATGAAACACTGCAGGTCAAAATCAAAATGTTTCTAACTGCACCACTGAAACCAACAGCTGTAGAATGATCAGGAGCTGAATTAAGTGTATGAAAAAAAAAAAAAAAAAAAGACATAAAGTGTCCTTGAAATGATTAATCAAGACCACGAGATTTAATCCAAAAATCATTCCATAGGGAAACAGTTTGTCTCAGGAATAAGACAGCTCCAGGAGCCGGTTTGGAGGCAAAAAAATTCAACTTTAAACAGAGAATAATTGCTGTCAGAGCTGTTAATAGCACTTCTCCAGAAGTAGCAGCAGAAGTGCAAAGAAGTTTTATTTCCAAAGCCTATTAGGATTCAGTGTCGTTGGGGCTTCTTAAAAATCCGAAACTCGCTAAAAGGCTTTCTTAGCTCCTCGTTATGCTAATCTGGCTGCTCACCCGCACCAGCGCAAGGGAAATCACAGACAATAGGCACGGAGGGGAGGGCTGCGAGGGCAGTGCAGTTTACCTTCTGAGCACTCCTCCTAGCAAAGAGGCGTTGAGACACTCCGGGGGCGAGAGCCTCCTCTGCACCTCTGCTACTGTCACTTTGTATTTCGACGTGGAGCTCAGGAGGGAAAGTCTCCCCGGAACGGAACAAAACACTTCGTTGGGGTTTATGACCACCCCAATTAATCCATCCTTTTGGCAGGGGAGACTTAGAGCACTGTTTTTCGTTAAGGAAATGGGACCTGCAGGAAGAGGAGGGAAAGTAGGTATTTTATAAAAGGGAAAAAGAAATAGGAAGTGGCAAGTGAATTTCCTTTCTACAAAAAAAAAGCCAAGCAAACAGGATTTCGTTTGGTGTTAAATGCTCAGCCCGCTGACCCCCGTCCCCAGCCTCTCTCTGCAGCACAGGAACCCAAAAGGTGCCCACAACTCTTGCCGAGCAGCTGCATTTTGCCACTCGATTTCAAGGAGCTGCCGAACACAACTAGAAATGCTTTTCCAAGCACACAAACCCCACATCCCAGCAGCAGCAAGCTCGCAAATCCACGCTCATAAAAAACCCGATACAACTACAGACTCCAAATTAGCATCCTTCGGCTACTGCCAAAAAAAAAAACTCTTTCCGAGCCGGGGCAGGGAGAAACCTCCCAAACTCCCGCTGGGGTTCATCTTCCACTTCGCACACACGGATTTAAGAAACCGCCTTTGGAATTTAATCCCGACAAATTCATAGCAGACAGTACACCCGAGCGGGATGCAGCCCAGGGGAGAAGCGAAAGTAAAGCGTTGCTCGTTAATAGTTTCAGCCTTTAGGTGAGGAGGGATAACAAAGGCTTTGCAAGCAGCAAACCACAGATCCAGCTTTTCCATCCCTTTGTAAATCCGCCCAGTTCACCCAGTGGCTGCTGCTGGCTCAGGGCACCGAGCGAAAGGGTTAAAGAGCCGAGGTCGGCCCTGATCCCGGAGGGGGAAGATTTGTCAGTGGTGCATCTGACAGCGAAATTATTCTCCCATGAGCTAAAGGCAGCAATCAGCGCTCTGACACACACTTCTGCTTTTCCTCAGTTAGGTATTTGTTTGAAGTCTTCAGAGGAAACTTCCACTGATTTTTTTTTTTTAAGCACAAATTTGTTTAAAAACAAAAGCAGGAGGAAAAAATCTAAATGACTGTAAATTGAGTCAATACGTCTTGCTCCTTCCTCAAAACCTCAGCTACAAACCAATTTCGATTAACATAAAGCCGAGCAGGCTTCTACCACCAACTCATTCCCTTCTCAAGTCTTGTAAAGAAGTTGCAAGAAAAAAAAATAGTTGGGAAAAAAAAAAATGGGAAAAAACTGTATTCGAGTGCTAGCGGTAACAAAACCCCCAACCAAGCAAGCAAAAAGAAAAGCCTCGTGTCACTTTACACACACATATTCCAGGGCAGAGTAAATTCGGTCCAATGTCCTGGTTTCGATTAAAGCCACAAAAGAACAAGCGAGGGGAGACAGTCGGTGTCCCCCGGTGGAATCTCACACCCCGGGGCAGCCTTGGGGCTTTGTCCCCGTAGCCACCTTCCCTCGGCCAGCGTTAGAAAAAAAATCCAGCGACTTGAGAGAGTGGAATAAAAGCTCCTCCGCCCTCCCCATCCCAAATGATCCATCCTTATAAAAATCCTAGGGCGTCACTTCACCGGTGCGTCACTGCACTTTAACTATTGACAAGGGAAAGTAAAGCTGCGGTGCCACCTTACTGACCTTTTCTAATGACTGTCTGGTCATGCATTAGTAGGTGTTGATCTTCCACATTCTGGAAAGA